TCATATTCTGTGTTGCATTATTTTTATTCATTTTGAGGAATACTGAATCTCTGTTTTTTGTGAGTGAGATGAATTCATGCATATTTATATTTATTTTAGAACTACAGTAACATCTTCTGATTTCTCTCAACATGGGGACAGGAGAGCTGTCAATCAATAAATTGGAAAAAAAAAGTAACTTGCATTACTTATTTGAAAAATTAACTCAGATATTACCTTGTAAATTACAAAGTAATGCGTTACTTTACTAGTTACTTGAAAAAAGTAATCTGATTACGTTACTTGTAATATATTACCCCCAACACTGTAAATGACTACAATGCTTTTATAATGCAATGACACTTTGGTCTTATAAAGCCGTCTATTTAAACAATTTAATAACGGCACTTGGCATTTACTGAGTTTGAAAATAAACACAGCAACTGTTAAAAATAATGTAAGAAAAATCGCTGTTGTTTCTTACCTTCAAGCGTGTCCCCATCACGTGAGTCTTGTTCTGCTGCTGCGCTGTTTGTGGTTGTGACGCAGCGCAGCGCCGCCTGCTGCACTGGAGGACGCGCCTGCTCCGCAAACGCGCGGGGGTTTATTTTCAGCAATAAACATCAGAATTAAACTGAAAAAGAACCTTTAAGAAGCTACTTAGTTGGTTTTGTATCGCTTATTATGGGGAATGTCCCTTGAATTAAAGGAAACCCTTTATTATATACTTTTTCTTGAAGGAAGTTGATGGATGCACCGTAGATATCTGCATATATCTGAGACGCACAACGCGAATAAGCTGCATCAGTGATCACACTCATTCAGATCCTCTGGTTAATACTCTTCCAAGTTCTCCATGGGTCCCGCCTTTGTTACTGTAGTACTTATAGTCTAATTTTATATTTATAAACACTTACACAATGTTGTGATGCCTAAATTCATATTTAGCGCGCAAACTCATGGTTTTCTGAAAACAAAGATTCACAACATAACCTACAACATGAACGTAACTTCAGCCAGAATATCTTTATTGTGTGTTTTATTATTATTACTTTAAAACTAGACAATATTTTCAGGTTTTCCTATGACTGCATGAAGCATCGGAGTCACCCAATTACAGAAAGACTGTATAAAACCACATTTATTGGATTCCACAGAACAGAAGTACAACATGTAAGTCTCACACCATAACAGACTCAAACAAGGACAACTTCTTCACCAGATCACATTATTCACAATGAAGCACGCAAGCAGATGACTCCTCCACGTGTCTCCGGTCTTTGTCTGAAAGGAAAGAACGAGGAAGAAAATGTTACAGCAACAGCTAAACTTCGAGCAGAATCATGGCAACGCGTTATACTGACCCTCATATAAGAGTAAATAATCCTTCCCCTGAGTGCAGGGTCAGATGGGTAGTGTGTTTAATCATTGGGGCAGTTCAAAGCTTCAGTCTTTTAGTTGGATTAATCTAAACAAAAATCAGTCTGTAAAAGCTAGTACTAAAATGTTGTCCACAACATTTTACTTATAAATGCCTAAAACATACCTTGTTGCTGCCAATCCTCGAGCCTCGCGCTGCTCAAAGCGCACATGGACGGAATGAGTCTTCTTCTGTGTTTGTTTCAGGCTTTCTGCCAGAGCCTCAGCAGCGCATTACTGCCTCCAGCGGTGGCACTGGGAATCACTGATGGCCGCTTTCCAATCACGATTCATGCAGCTTCGAAACATTTGTCAATCTTTTGTTTTGAAGCGCTGCTTCAGAAATCGCCTGGTCACGTGATCGTAGCAAACAAAACATTTTTGATTTATTCGTTTGTTTGTCTCACATTTATTTATTTTACTTTTATTTTGTTAATTTTTTTACTTGTTTTGTTATTTTGTGCTGTTTTATTTTGTGTATGCATAACTGCATATATAATAGTGCTGTCAAATGATTAATCGCGATTAATCGCATCCAAAATAAAAGTTTTTGTTTACATAATATATATGTGTGTGCTGTGTATATTTATTATGTGTATATGTATATACACTCACTTACAGCATATATTTTGGAAATATTTACTTGCATATACATTTATATATTTATATTCTTATATTTTATATTATATATAAATATATTTAATATATAAAACGGGGGAAAATCGGTATCAGGAATGAATATTTGATAACTCAGTGTATCCTTTTACGCAAAAAAAAGCGACTTTTAATTTGAAAAGAGGCGTTGTGGTGTTTTTCCGGAAGTGCGCCGAGAGTCAGCTGACTAGCGTAGTTCCGCTTCTGCGCGGTGGCGGTCAGCTGACAGATGTTTGCTGTCTCGGATCGTGCGGCTGTGAAATAAGAACACCTGCGCGATCAGAGCCGATCAGCGCGATGAGTGCTGGCGCCCCCCGATCTCTGGCCTCCTCCGGACAGAAGTCCATCCAGGACATCTGCCACCCTCTGTCCGCCGAGGAGAGCGCGCTGAACCCCGGCAGCGCTGCAGACACGGTGAGGTCCGGGCTGGGGCTGTTTGGGGCAACATCAACCCAGAATCGCTCTCTAGCTAGGCAGCATTCAGGATCCATCAGCACTAGTGAAGCAGTGCTGCTGACAGCGTGTCGCTATGTCTAAAATATTTTACTGGGTAAAAAACAAGTAGTGTGTTTGTCCAGCCACAAACATCATAGTAATATGTTTTAGTAAATATCGTGGTATGGAAATATGCAGTGTTACTACCTTGTTTATGAACGTGCATCGTGGTATTACCATGTTTTTGGGTATGTACTATGGTAGGTTGTTTGAACATGCACCATGATTGTACCATGCGTTTTTAGTATTTATTTACCGTATTAATACCATAATTTATTGGCCATGCACTGTGTGTCATCTAAATACAATGATATATGATTATAATAGTTATTTAGTATGATGGCACACATCAGGGTCCCATCATAGTATTTGTTGTTTGTGTGGATTGGAGTGCATCTTATAGATATTCAGGTGAATGCAATAAGAAATGGAAGCGTTTTGTGTTAAATCTAAAAACGTGAGCGGTTTGGCTAAAGTGAAATGAAATTATTGTATGTGATCTCCCAGTTTTGAATTGTTATAAATACTGATCAGTGTTGCACATATCGAGGTTTATTTATCAAATGCACAAAAATATATGCAGCAAAATATTTATGTATGCCTAGAAAATGGAAATAAGGCAATAGTTCACCCCAAAATAAAAATCGCTGAAATTGTCCTCACCCTCAGGTAATGCATACATTTCTCCAAATCTGTTCTGATGAAGAAACAAATTCATCTATATCTTGGATGGCCTGATTTTCATCTCTAGGTGAACTATTCCTTTAAGACCTAAAGGAAAAGTAAATTTACCACGAACCACACAGAATAAAAAAAATGTATATGAGTGCTGCTTAACACATTGTGCAAAGTTGCTATTAGTAAACTCTAGTAAGAGTATTGAAATAGTAACCGCAGATGTCTGTTGTGCAGTGTGTGAGGTGTGAACTATAATGAGTCAGACATGTCTGGACAATAGAGCTGTGTTGAGCTTGGCACAGCTGACTGAGATGCTGCTAAATGAAGAGTTTGTTGTGTTTTACTCATGACGCAGAAGAGTTGTTTTTGTGCGCCGCTCATAAATGTATTGTTGTTGCAGTTGCACTGTGGCTTCCCTATTTGTTGGATATGATAATTGCTTGTAAATGCTGTGAATGCTTGTTTACTTCATATTAAAATGGCTGTTTTAATAATAATATTATAGGTCATTTTAATTCTATTTGTACTTCATTATTAGAGATAGTAAGGCTTTTTCTGTACTTGTTTATTCCGATGGCAAATTTTTTGCCAGAAAGAGTTTTTTTCTTTTGCAATTTTTTGCAATTCATTAAGATGCATCAGCGCAATATTTGAACAAACCCAGAAACTTGGGCTTTCTTTACTGATTTCTGCTAATAAGCAGAAACTCCCTTTGGGGTTGTTTTGTGTGACACATTAAACAGTTTAGAAAACTGTTTTTTTTTTTATAGAGAAAATGAAATCATGGGATACAGAGTGCCAGGTAACATTATGAGTAATGCTTATTTTCCTGGTAAAAAGGAAATAACTCACTATCACGGTTTTGTGATAATTGCCTAATCTTGCCTAACCTGAGAGCGGGAACGAGACATCACAGAGACATTTCTCCGTTATGGGAACTCCTTCCCTTCCAACGTTTCCTGAAGTCCTATTGGCTCACGCCAGTCAAAATGACTGGCCAATTGTAGCGAAGTATGCAAATCGCATGCAAATACTGACGCACTCGAGAGGCAGTATAAAATGCCGGTGCACGCGACAATTACGTCAGAATCTGATACTGAACGCCGCTTAGCTGGTCGAGCAGCGAACACGGCGACCTCCGTTATTTCTCCGTTATGGGAACGATATTCAATCCCGCCGTGAGAGAGGCTACGAGCAGCCTGTA